ACTGACGTGCAATCTCCCCGACACCCACCGGAAGAGAGGAGAAACACGGGGGGGAAGAAACGGCACCCGCAGGAGATGCGACGGCGGCAGCTGCCCGCCCGGGAACACGGAGAATCGCATTTATATTGCACAGTTACGCCCACTTCTCGTATTATTCATGAACCTGGAATGAGCCAATAAGAGGGTGCTCCACCATAAGCGCATGGGCCTCACGAGCTACAGTACATCAGGCCAAAATCACCCACGCGTGGGGGGGGGGGGGGGGGGGGGGACAACGTATACGACCGCAACTGATGGGCGCCACCCCACCGCCGTTGTCATCGTAGAATAAATTCTGTTCTTTAAAAATAAATGGAGTTAGAACACGAAAAAAAAAAATGAAAAAACGAAAGAAAGCAGCCCAATGCTCCTCCCTTTTTTGACCGTTTTCTCCCAACCGGCACCACCTAGTGCGCACCGTTTGCCGCAAACCAAGCGAATGCAGCGAAAAATTGGTGATGTGCAATGGCCACCGTATAAAGGATGGGCACGGACCCCAGGAAGGGCGAGTGACTACGGGGGAGGTGTTGGGGTGGGACAAAGTATATGACCGCAACCGATGGGCGCCACCCCACCGCCGTTGTCATCGTAGAATAAATTCTGTTCTTTGAAAATAAATGGAGTAAGAGCACGAAAAAAAAAACAAAAAACGAAAGAAAGCAGCCCAATGCTCCTCCCTTTTTTGACCGTTTTCTCCCAACTGGCACCACCTAGTGCGCACCGTTTGCCCCAAACCAAGTGAATGCAGAGAAAAAAAAATCGGTGATGTGCAACGGCCACCATATAAAGGATGGGCATGGACCCCGGGAAGGGCGAGTGACTACAACACACAACGGGGGGGGGCAATGTATACGAACGCAACGATGGGCGCCACCCTACTGCCATCGTCATCGTATTTTTTCTTTGAAAATAAATGGAGTTAGAACACAAAAAAAAAAAACACGAAAGAAAGCAGCCCAATGCTCCTCCCTTTTTTGACCGTTTTCTCCCAACTGGCACCACCTAGTGCGCACCGTTTGCCGCAAACCCAACCAAGTGAAGGCAAAAAAAAAAAAAAAAATTTTGCTGATGTGCAACGGCCACCGTATAAGGGAGGGACCCCAGGAAGGGCGAGTGACTACAACACATAACTTATAGGACAACGTATACGACTGCAACCGATGGGCGCCACCCCACCGCCGTTGTCAGAACATTGTACAATAAATTCTGTTCTTTGAAAATAAAGTTAGAACAAGAAAAAAAAAAACAAAACAAAAAAAAACTAAAGAAATCAGCCCAATGCTCCATCCTTTTTTGACCGTCTTCTCCCAATCGGCACTACCTAGTGCGCACCGTTTGCCGCAAACCAAGTGAACGCAGAGGAAAATCGGTGATGTGCAACGGCCACATCAGGCCAAAATCACCCACGCGTGGGGGGGGGGGGGGGGGGGGGGGGGGGACAACGTATATACGGCCGCAACTGATGGGCGCCACCCCACCGCCGTTGTCATCGTAGAATAAATTCTGTTCTTTAAAAATAAATGGAGTTAGAACATGAAAAAAAACCAAAAAACAAAAGAAAGCAGCCCAATGCTCCTCCCTTTTTTGACCGTTTTCTCCCAACCGGCACCACCTAGTGCGCACCGTTTGCCGCAAACCAAGTGAACGCAGAGAAAAATTGGTGATGTGCAACGGCCACTGTATAAAGGATGGGCACGGACCCCGGGAAGAGGCGAGAGGCTACAACACACAACGGGGGAGGGGACAGGGATGGTCACCCAGACACTCGCATGGGGCGCAGGAGATGCGCAATGCTTCTAGATGGCTTTATAAGCTGCACAAGTGGTTCGTGAGGGCGGGGCGGGGGGCGGGGTCAAAGAACCAAAAAAAAAAGACTTGCACTAGAAAACATTTCACTTTTTAAATAAAATAAATATAAAACATACCATACAATGTAGCTGCCTTAGTCAGATCCGTGATCTGTCACCTCTTCGGTGGAACCCCCAGTGTCCCCGGATTTACAAAACGCTCGGTGTTCCGCGACGCGGCCAGTCGTTTCAAAGGGTCTGACGACTTATATCTCCTTTAGCCAATCAGAAATCGGTCTAATTAATTTCCAGCAGACCCCTCCCTCATCATACCCCCCCAACGTACTGGACGTGTGTAGGCCTGTGTACCGGTCACAGAACATCTCCCGAGGATTGTCGCCTATCAGGGAACGCATCGATCGGCTGCATTCAGTCACAGTGCAGGAGATCGTCTTCACACTCAGAGAGGGCGACGCTCGAGGTGACAAGTATGAGGGTCAGAGAACCGCAGCCGGCTCCGGGGACCTCAACGAGACGTCATCTGACGTATGAAGAGGAAACCGAAACTCCCAGGAAAGGGACTGAGCTTCCCCGGGATCGTCGTTAGATCGGGGGGGACGGGGACGGGGGGTTTTGGTACACTGAGCCATCTAGAAACACAGTCATCTGACCATACAAAGTGACGATTGTGTTTGTTTCCCCGGGAACGATCACACAAACGGAGCGCCAGCTCATCGTCGGTTTACATCCCAAAGAGTCCGTTTGGATTAACTTTGGAAATGGGGGAAAAAAAAAGAAAAAAAATTATTAAACCCTGGAAAGCAGGCGGTGAGCGCTACGGTGCAATGTCACGAGCTCCGCGGCCAGACGGTGAGCACTATGCTGCAACCTCACCCTGGAGAGCACTATGCTGCAACCTCACCCTGGAAACCCTGTGCAGAGCAATACACTGCAATGTCATGTGTTCCACAGCCAGACGGTGAGCACTATGCTGCAACCTCACCCTGCAGAGCACTATGCTGCAACCTCACCCTGGAGAGCACTATGCTGCAACCTCACCCTGGAAACCCTATGCAGAGCAATACACTGCAATGTCATGTCTTCTGCAGCCAGACGGTGAGCACTATGCTGCAACCTCACCCTGGAAACCCTGTGCAGAGCAATACACTGCAATGTCATGTGTTCCACAGCCAGACGGTGAGCACTATGCTGCAACCTCACCCTGCAGAGCACTATGCTGCAACCTCACCCTGGAGAGCACTATGCTGCAACTTCACCCTGGAAACCCTATGCAGAGCAATACACTGCAATGTCATGTGTTCTGCAGCCAGACGGTGAGCACTATGCTGCAACCTCACCCTGGAGAGCACTACGCTGCAATGTCACGTGTTTGCAGCCAGACGGTGAGCACTATGCTGCAACGGCACTCTGTGCAGAGCAATACACTGCAACGTCACGTGTTCCACAGCCAGACGGTGAGCACTATGCTGCAACCTCACCCTGGAAACCCCATGCAGAGCAATACACTGCAATGTCATGTGTTCTGCAGCCAGACGGTGAGCACTATGCTGCAATGTAATGTGTTCTACAGCCAGGCGATGAGCAATACACTGCAAGGTCACTCTGGTGAGCACTACACTGCGATGGAATATATGTTCTGCTCTTAGGCAGTGAGCACCACATTGCAATCTCATGTGTTCTGCTCCCAGGCGGTGAGCACTACACTACAGTGTCACTCAGGAGAGCACTGCACTGCGATGGAATGTGTTCTGCAGCCAGGCGGTGAGCACTACACTGCAATGTCACCCTGGAGAGCACTACACTGCAATGTCACCCTGGAGAGCACTACACTGCAATGTCACCCTGGAGAGCACTACACTGCAATGGAACATGTTCTGCTCTTAGGCGGTAAGCAATACACTGCAATGTCACCCTGGAGAGCACTACGCTGCAATGTCACCCACCCTGGAGAGCACTACGCTGCAATGTCACCCTGGAGAGCACTACACTGCAATGTCACCCAGGAGAGCACTACACTGCAATGTCACCCAGGAGAGCACTACACTGCAATGTCACCCAGGAGAGCACTACACTGCAATGTCACCCAGGAGAGCACTACACTGCAATGTCACCCAGGAGAGCACTACACTGCAATGTCACCATGGAGAGCACTACACTGCAATGTCACCATGGAGAGCACTACACTGCAATGTCACCCAGGAGAGCACTACACTGCAATGTCACCATGGAGAGCACTACACTGCAATGTCACCCAGGAGAGCACTGCACTGCAATGGAACATCTTCTGCTCCCAGGCGGTGAGCACTACACTGCAATGTCACCCTGAAAACCAGGTGCTGAGCACCACTTTGCAATGTAACAAGTTCTGCAGACAAGTGGTGAGCACTGCACTGCAATGGAGTGTGTTCTGCAGTCAGGCGGGGAGCACTGCACTGCAATGTCATGTGTTTTGTTCCCAGGCGGTGAGCACTCCACCGCCACGGAACATGTTCTGCAGCTGCCACCTCCAGAATGAAAACAAAACAGTAAAATAGATATACAGACGCTTACAACAATATCGAGAGATTAGTGTTTCCAACCACCGTGTCGTTTTCTCGGTTTTCAAGTTTTGGCGGAGAAGTATGTGCAGATGCCGATGCAAAGATTCCCACATAAGTGCCTAGTTCAGCGAAGAGCAAAGTTTTGGTGGTTGAATTTGGTTAGAACTAGACGTTTCCTCACATGAAGAGTTAGTGCCGTGGAAGCCAAAACTTTGTTTAGTGTTGCAAAAATAAAAGCAACTTTATTTGTAGTTTTTTTTGTTTCCTTCCAGGAAATCAAAGTGAATTGAGAATCCTTTGGTCTTCTTTTCCATACGTGTTGCTGGCGATCGCCGGGAGCGCGCGCTGGTGCGGACCTTTAGCTTCACGCCCTCCAGGCATTTTCGGGGTACGGGGAGCACCTCCAGGCAATCCTTTTACCACCGACGGAGCCCAGCAAGCTTGGTTCTTCCAGATTCTCGGGCTGAACAAGCGGGAAGCACCAGAACGCAGCACATGACCGGAACACTGTCCGGAACACGGCCATCCTGCGATGACATGCCTTCCTTCACATTCACAAATTCACTTCTTGTGCAAATCAAGCAGTCTAAGTAAAAAGAATGCCCTCTTAGTTCTAAAAAAAAAAAAAAAAAAAAAACGTAGAAAAGATCCAAAAATGGCTGCCTGGGGGGGTCCTCCAGGGGCTTATCTGCACAGGGAGGACGTGTGTGCGTAGACGGGGTAGGCCAGCCTGACATTCAGAGAATCGTTGTGTTGGACGAGGGAAGTATGCTGGTAATGGAGGACCAACTCCTTTAGTGTGCTGTACAGATTGTACGGTTCCGCGAAGCCGAAGCCCCGTGACGTGCTGTAAATGACGCAATGTTTGACGTCGCCGTCCGCCCTATGAGAAGAAGAGAAATGACATGAGAAGAAAGGTGCAAACAGCGGAGAGACAAGATGGGCAACGCAAAGAGGCGGTCCAGGTATGGGAATGGTGAGAGCCTTCTGAGGAGGAAATCCGTAACTACTTCCCACCCAGGCCAATTCTGACATTTCTCTCCTACATGTAAATCCCCCCCCCCAAAAAAAAAAAACACTTCTTGGCTAGACAATTACTCAGAACCCCTTCCCCCTCAAAAAATAAAATGTATATTAAAAAAAATTAAAATAAAATAAACACACACACATATATATACAGTGGGGATGGAAAGTTTGGGCACCCCAGCTAAAAATTTGTATTAATGTGCATAAAGAATCCAAGGAAAGATGGAAAAATCTCCAAAAGGTATCAAATTACAGATTAGACATTCTTATAATATGTCAACAAAAGTTAGATTTTTATTTCCATCATTTACACTTTCAAAATAACAGAAAACCAAAAAAATGGCGTCTGCAAAAGTTTGGGCATCCTGCAGAGTTAATATCTTGTACTGCCCCCTTTGGCAAGTATCACAGCTTGTAAACGCTTTTTGTAGCCAGCCAAGAGTCTTTCAATTCTTGTTTGAGGTATCTTTGCCCATTCTTCCTTACAAAAGTCTTCCAGTTCTTTGAGATTTCTGGGCTGTCTGTCACGCACGGGCTCTTTTAAGGTCTATCCATAGATTTTCAATGATGTTGAGGTCAGGAGATTGTGAAGGCCATGGCAAAACCTTCAGTTTACGCCTCTTGATGTAATCCCCCATGGATTTCGAGGTGTGTTTAGGATCAATATCCATTTGTAGAAGCCATCCTCTCTTTAACTTCAGCTTTTTCACAGATGGCATCAAGTTACCATCCAAAATTTGCTGAAATTTTATTGAATCCATTTTTCCTTCTACTCGTGAGATGTTCCCTGTGCCACTGGCTGCAACACAACCCCAAAGCATGATTGATCCAACCCCATGCTTCACAGTTGGACAGAGGTTCTTTTCATTCAATTCTGTGCCCCTTCTTCTCCAAACGTACCTTTGCTCATTCCGGCCAAAAAGTTCAATTTTAACCTCATCGGTCCACAGAACTTGTTTCCAAAATGCATCAGGCTTGTCTATATGTTCATTTGCAAAGTTCAAACGATGATTTTTGTGGTGAGGACGTAGAAGAGGTTTTCTTCTGATGACTCTTCCATGAAGACCATATTTGTACAAGTATCTCTTTATAGTGGAATAGTGACCACAACTCCAGTGTCTGCCAGATCTTTCTGGAGGGATCGTGCAGTCAAACGTGGGTTTTGAATTGTTTTTCTCACAATCCTGCGAGCTGTTCTGTCTGATATTTTTCTTGGTCTTCCAGATCTTGCTTTAACTTCCACTGTTCCTGTGACTGCCATTTCTTAATTACATTCCGAACAGAGGATATTGACATCTGAAAACGCTTTGCTATCTTCTTATAGTCCTTCTCCAGCTTTGTGAGCGTCAACTATTTTCAGTTTCAGTTTTCTAGACAACTGCTTAGAAGAACCATGGTGCTGATTGTTGGGGCAAGGTCAGATGAGTCTGGGCATTTATAACCTTTGAGATTGACATCACCTGGTCTTCCCAGACGATGATTGAGAACAATCCGTGACACTGGCAGGTCTCAGCTTGGCAAAGGGGGCAGTGCATGCTATAAATTCTGCAGGGTGCCCAAACTTTTGCAGACGCCATTTTTTGGTTTTCTGTTATTTTGAAAGTGTAAATGATGGAAATAAAATCTAACTTTTGTTGACATATTATAAGAATGTCTAATCTGTAATTTGATGCCTTTTGGAGATTTTTCCATCTTTCCTTGGCTTCTTTATGCACATTAATACAAATTTTTAGCTTTCGATCCCCACTGTATATACACACATACATATATACACACACATACATATATACACATACATATATACACACACACACATATACATACATACACACTTTTTTAAAAATATGTTTTCTTTTTTTGGGGGGGGGGGGGGGGGTGTTCAGAAATGTTTTTTTTTTTCTACATGTAGGAGAGAAATGTCAGAACTGGTCTGGGTGGGAAGTAGTTAAGGATTTTTTTTCTTAATTCTTTTATTTATTCTTGTTAAGCAGAGGCCTTATAAAATGGTGAGTGTTGCACTTTTCAAAACACAATTTTTTGGGGGGGGAAAAAAAAAGAAAAAAAAGTAACTTTAATGCAAAACAATCCACACCACAACAGAAGGCGGGTAAATAGATACCAAACATGTGACGCTTTAAAACTCCACGCACTTCTGGAATGACGACATTCTCTGATACTTAAAAAAAAAAAAGAAGATGATTAAGTATCAGAGAATGTCGTCATTCCAGAAGTGCGTGGAGTTTTTAAAGCGTCACATGTTTGGTATCTATTTACCCGCCATATGTTGTGGTTTGGGTTTTTTTTTTGTTTTTTATGTTACAGGTTACCAGGTTAGTTACATGGGAGGTCTACCATTAGAATTATTGTTCTCACTAGAACATTCATGCCCATACCTCGCGTGTGAGGTGCGAACGGCGTTTACATATGCGTGTACGACCTACACGACATGCATGACCTACGCTTTAAAAACTCTTTAATTTTTCATTTTTACACTGTCCTTAAATTTGTTTTTCAAATCACTTTTATTCCCATCAAAAGAAATGTAAAAACATTCCTTGCTATAGAAATAAGGGATGACAGGTCCTCTTTATGGAGACATTTGGGGTCTATAAGACCCCATATCTCTCCTCTACCCTGGAAGGCATAAAAAAAAAAAACACACACACACACAAAAGCACACAAAAACCCCCCCACAAAAACCCAAAAAAACACAAAAGCACACAAAATGCACCCCACAAAAACCCAAAAAAACACAAAAGCACACAAAATGTACCCCACAAAAAAACCTCAAAAACACAAAGAAAAAAAAAAACAACAACACAAAAGCACACAAAAACCCCCCCACAAAAACCCAAAAAAACACAAAAGCACACAAAATGTACCCCACAAAAAAACCTCAAAAAAACACAAAGAAAAAAAACAAACACAAAAGCACACAAAACCCCCCCACAAAAACCCAAAAAAAAACAAACAAACAAAAAGCACACAAAATTAACCCCACAAAAAAAAAAAAAACACAAAACAAAAAAAAACAACAAAACACACATCTCGTGCTTTCCAGAAAAAGGTATGGAAGGGTTTTCATCTACCAGAACTGGAAAATACATGATGTCGCTTTTAGCCTCCCAGGACCATAGAGATGGGCGGGGACTATCTGGTCCACAGCCGGCTCTATGGTAACCTCTGGAGGGGAGGGGTTAATAATAATCATCAGATACCAGGATGTTGGCAATAGCTGCAGGCATCATCCTGGTATGACCTCTGACAGTCCAGTCCGCTGTTTGGTGCATCCCATCCCACTGCTGTCAACTAGGATGCAGCGGCTGCGCAGACACAGCCGCTGCTCCCAATCCGGCGTCCACGCGGGTGCAAAGCCCAGAGTGCACACTGTCTGCGTTTGGGGCCATGCACCCGCACGTGTGTCCAATTGGCTGTGTTCAATCAAATCATTTTCAAGAAACACCTTCTATGACATCATCGCTGGGTCTGATGGACTTTGGTGCATAGTGAGTTTTGTGGGAGGGGTTCATAGGATCCTCTAAGAGTCACAGCACCCTCCTTCAAGTGTTGCATGAAAAAACACATCCCTGGCATCCCTTTAGAGGTGCATGCTAGCACTCTCTGCTGGCCACTGGCTGCTGAAGACTTTATTTGTGCAATTAGCTGATCAGTTGCTTGATTACACTCTAATTGAGCGATCAGCAGATTGCACAGCTAAAGTCTGCAGCGCCCATCAGGGAGGAGCATGCACGTCTAAAGGGATGAAAGCTGAGGAAAGAAAGATCACATGGTGTCCACAGCCACTGGATCAGTCTGAGAGCCCAACAAGTAGCATTTTCAGAAAAGTCTGTATTTCTCCTACAAGCCGCTCTGACATGACAGCAGAGCTGGGGATGGATGGATGGATGGGGATGGGGGCAGCATAAACACTCACACCACAGAGCAGGCGTAGCATCCTTTCTTGCTGCTCTCCCCGGATTAGAAAGGCTCCATCGGGCTTCCCTCGGAGGAGTTCCTCGGCTTGGATCCGATTGATGTCCCCCACAAACCAGGTCTTCTCATCGTAGTGCGGCAGCAGCTCATCCTCCTCGCTCAGGAAATAGGGACTGTGATCAGAGGAGAAGATCAGTTACTATCAGAGGCCCAGAGAGAGAGAGCCGCAGGAGGAGACCAGAAGTACGGAAGACACTCACTCGTCTATACTCTCATTCTTGATTCCAAGCCATTCATTGATCCTTTTCTGCCGCACGCCTTTGTGATTGAGCCATCTATGGGAAAATGGAGAGAGTTTACTGCATGCCGTGACACCACCCACACGTGTCCCAGTGACACCGCCAACCAACACCGCCCACGCCTGTCCCAGTGACACCGCCAACACGTGTCCCAGTGACACCGCCCACGAGTGTCCCAGTGACACCGCCCACGCGTGTCCCAGTGACACCGCCCACGCGTGTCCCAGTGACACCAACACCACCCACGCCTGTCCCAGTGACACCGCCCACACGTGTCCCAGTGACACCGCCCACGCGTGTCCCAGTGACACAGCCCACGCGTGTCCCCAGTGACACCAACACCACCCACGCCTGTCCCAGTGACACCACCCACACGTGTCCCAGTGACACCGCCAACACCGCCCACGCCTGTCCCAGTGACACCGCCAACACGTGTCCCAGTGACACCAACCCACACCCACGTGTCCCAGTGACACCACCAACACCGCCCACGCCTGTCCCAGTGACACCGCCAACACGTGTCCCAGTGACACCGCCAACCCGCCCACACCTGTCCCAGTGACACCGCCAACACGTGTCCCAGTGACACCGCCCACAGTGACCCAGACACCACCCACGCGTGTCCCAGTGACACCAAACCACCACACGTGTCCCAGTGACACCCAACCACCCACGCCTGTCCCAGTGACACCGCCCACACGTGTCCCAGTGACACCGCCCACGCGTGTCCCAGTGACACCGCCCACGCGTGTCCCAGTGACACCACCAAACACCACCACGCCTGTCCCAGTGACACCGCCCACACGTGTCCCAGTGACACACCGCCAACACCCCCACGCCTGTCCCAGTGACACCGCCCAACACGTGTCCCAGTGACACCGCCCAACACACGCCCACAACACGTGTCCCAGTGACACCGCCAACACCACGCGTGTCCCAGTGACACCAACACCACCCCCACGCCTGTCCCAGTGACACCGCCCACACGTGTCCCAGTGACACCGCCAACACCGCCCACGCGTGTCCCAGTGACACATCGCCCACTCATGTCACAGTGACATCACCAACACCACCCACTCATGTCCCAGTGACACCGCCCACGCCTGTCCTAGTGACTCCGCCCATGCCTGTCCCAGTGACACCAACACCGCCCACCACCAGAGAACTCATAACTCCATGCTACTGGAGCCCATATACTACTGAAGGTACCAGAATCAAACCAACTCCATGTTACTGGAGCCAGCAGAGGACCAGAGCCAGACAAACTCCATGCTCCTGGAGCCCATATACTAGGAGAGGACCCAGAATGGAACAAACTCCATGCTCCTGGAGCCCATATACTAGGAGAGGACCAAAAACAAAACAAACTCTCCATGCTCCTGGACCCATATACTAGCAGAGGACCCAGAATGGGACAAACTCCATGCTCCTGGAGCCTATATACTAGCAGAGGACCCAGAATCAAAAAAAACTCCACGCTCCTGGAGCCCATATACTAGCAGAGGACCCAGAGCTGGGACAAACTCCATGCTCCTGGAGCCTATATACTAGGAGAGGACCCAGAACTGAACAAACTCCATGCTCCTGGAGCCCATATACTAGCAGAGGACCCAGAATGGGACAAACTCCACGCTCCTGGAGCCCATATACTAGCAGAGGACCCAGAGCTGGACAAACTCCATGCTCCTGGAGCCCATACACTAGCAGAGGACTCAGTCCTGGGAACAGCCATGTTGCAGGAGTCATTGTCCTATCCAAGGGGCCCTCATTGCACACCATTGAGGTAGGAAGGGGCGGCTCCATAGAATGACATTAGTAGTCAGGGAACTCACACTAGGTACTGGTCTCGGATCTTCCTCAGCTGGATCAGATCTGGTTTGATGCTGTTCATCTTCTTGTCTATTTCTCGGTTGTCCAGCGCCTGTGTCTTCAGGTCTTGTTCCAGCCGCAATTTACTGTCATGAATCTCCCCCAATCGAGATTTTAGCTTCTCGTAATTGATGATTATTCTGGAGGAAGACGAGGAATTCAGCGCAGCGGGCGGTAAACATGCGGCAGAACAGCCACCAGGGGCGGACGCCATCAGTACCCACCTCTCCATCTCCTTGTCCCCGCTCTCCCGCTGGGACCTCTCCAGGAACTCCTTGCTGAACCTCTCCTGGGAATGACACTGCTCCTCAAAGATCTTAATGGTTTCATTGAAGGCTTCGATGGCCGTTCGCTTCATCTGGATCTCCTGCAGGAGAAACGATTCAATGTTATGCCACGCGTGTCACATGCATGGTCTGCGGCCACCACACCCCCGGCCCAGGCATGGTCTGCGGCCACCACACCCCACCCCGACCCAGGCATGGTCTGCGGCCACCACACCCCGACCCAGGCATGGTCTGCGGCCACCACACCCCCGGCCCAGGCATGGTCTGCGGCCCACACACACCCCGACCCAGGCATGGTCTGCGGCCACCACACCCCGGCCACCACAACCCCGGCCCAGGCATGGTCTGCGGCCACCACACCCCGACCCAGGCATGGTCTGCGGCCACCACACAACCCGGGCCCACCCCGGCCACACACCCCGGCCCAGGCATGGTCTGCGGCCACCACTGCCCCGGCCCCAGGCACGGTTTAGAAAGCCACCACACCCCGGCCCCAGGCATGGTCTGCCAACTACCACCAACCACCCAGCCCACGTACAATCTGATTACCATACCCCCCAGCCCCCGTACAATCTGATTTACCATACCCGGCCCCCACGCACGATCTGCAACTACCATACCCAGCCCACGGCACGATCTGCGACTACCATACCCAGCCCCACGCACAGTCTGCCACTAGCATACCCAGCCCACGTCCACTCGCACGATCTGCACTACCATACCAAGCCCACGCACGATCTGCGACTACCATACCCAGCCCACGCACAGTCTGCGACTACCATACCCAGCCCACGCACGATCTGCGACTACCATACCAAGCCCACGCACGATCTGCGACTACCATACCCAGCCCACGCACAGTCTGCGACTACCATACCCCAGCCACGCACAGTCTGCGACTACCATACCCAGCCCACGCACGATCTGCGACTACCATACCCAGCCCACGCACGATCTGCGACTACCATACCCAGCCCACGCACAGTCTGCGACTACCCATACCCGGCCCACGCACGATCTGCGACTACCATACCCAGCCCACGCACGATCTGCGACTACCATACCCAGCCCACGCACGATCTGCGACTACCATACCCAGCCCACGCACGATCTGCGACTACCATACCCAGCCCACGCACGATCTGCGACTACCATACCAAGCCCACGCATGATCTGCGACTACCATACCAAGCCCACGCACGATCTGCGACTACCATACCAAGCCCACGCACGATCTGCGACTACCATACCAAGCCCACACACGGTCTGCGACTACCATACCCAGCCCACACACAGTGTCTGCGACTACCATACCCAGCCCACGCACAGTCTGCGACTACCGTACCCAGCCCACGCACGATCTGCAACTACCATACCCAGCCCACGCACGATCTGCGACTACCATACCAGCCCACGCACGATCTGCAACTACCGTACCCAGCCCACACACGGTCTGCGACTACCATACCCAGCCCACGCACGATCTGCGACTACCATACCCAGCCCACGCACGATCTGCGACTACCATACCCAGCCCACGCACGATCTGCAATACCATACCCAGCCCACACGCACGATCTGCGACTACCATACCCAGCCCACGCATGATCTGCAACTACCATACCCAGCCCACGCATGATCTGCGACTACCATACCCAGCCCACGCATGATCTGCAACTACCATACCAGCCCACGCACGATCTGCGACTACCATACCAAGCCCACGCATGATCTGCGACTACCATACCCGGCCCACGCATGATCTGCGACTACCATACCCAGCCCACGCATGATCTGCGACTACCATACCCAAGCCCACGCATGATCTGCGACTACCATACCCAGCCCACACACAGTGTCTGCGACTACCATACCCAGCCCACGCACAGTCTGCGACTACTACCCAGCCCACGCACGATCTGCAACTACCATACCCAGCCCACGCACGATCTGCGACTACCATACCCAGCCCACGCACGATCTGCAACTACCGTACCCAGCCATACCCGGTCTGCGACTACCATACCCAGCCCACGCACAGTCTGCGACTACCATACCCAGCCCACGCATGATCTGCGACTACCATACACCCAGCCCACGCACGATCTGAATACCATACCCAGCCCACGCACGATCTGCGACTACCATACCCAGCCCACGCATGATCTGCAACTACCATACCCAGCCCACGCATGATCTGCGACTACCATACCCAGCCCACGCACGATCTGCGACTACCATACCCGGCCCACGCATGATCTGCGACTACCATTACCCAGCCCACGCACGATCTGCGACTACCATACCCAGCCCACGCACGATCTGATTACCATACCAGCCCACGCACGATCTGCGACTACCATACCCAGCCCACGCACGATCTGCGACTACCATACCCAGCCCACGCATGATCTGCGACTACCATATACCCGGCCCACGCATGATCTGCGACTACCATACCCAGCCCACGCATGATCTGCGACTACCATACCCAGCCCACGCATGGTCTGCGACTACCATACCCAGGCCCACGCACGATCTGCGACTACCATACCCAGCCCACGCACGATCTGCGACTACCATACCCGGCCCACGCATGATCTGCGACTACCATACCCAGCCCACACACAGTCTGCGACTACCATACCCAGGCCCACGCATGATCTGCGACTACCATACCCAGCCCACGCACGATCTGCGACTACCATACCCAGGCCCACGCACGATCTGCGACAAGCAATATAAAACCAATGGAAGACAGAGTTTAGGTTTAACCGTATTATTAACTGGAAATAAGCCACAGGATGGGTGCGTGTCATACCCGAGTACTAGATGGTACAGGGGAGAGGGTGAGGGGGGGTGATGGGAGAGGGTGAGGGGGGGGGGGGGTGATGGGAGAGGGTGACTGGGGGTGATGGGAGAGGGTGAGAGGGGGTGATGGGAGAGGGTGACTGGGGGTGATGGGAGAGGGTGAGGGGGGGGTGATGGGAGAGGGTGAGGGGGGGGGGGGGGGGAAGGGGGGGTGAGGGAGGGGGGGGGGTGAAGGGAGAGGGTGAGGGGGGGGGGGGGTGATGGGAGGGGGGGAGGATGAGGGGGTGGGTGATGAGGGAGGGTGAAGGCAGTATAGTGGGTAATGGGGTGCCACAGTCAGCCAGCAGAGAGGTGGGGGATGAAAAAAGAAAAATCCATTGACAGGGGTGTGCAGAGGGGCGAGGAAGTGGTGTGAAGAGGCGTCAGGAGGCGAGCGGTCCGATATCTTTCATCTGTTCTAACAAAGGAGATTAGAGGAGGATTACACACAGCATTGCGCCTCTTGTGGCGATTAGAGGGAACTGCAGGTGATGTCATCAATATCCATCCAGCAGTTCTCCTGTAGTCTGCACTAGAGGAGAAACAAACCAATGCCGGGCCCCGGACCGCTGCTGCCCAACCTGCGCCCCTTGGTTCGGCCTGTACATCCTCTGGGCATCATGGGCTATTCCCTTGCCTTGGTACTCCACACCTGAGGAGGACATTACTTGTAGACTGGCCTGGTTTTGGTTTATTCCCTTCACTCCCCCTATACTGTCCATTGCAAGTTCTGTATTTTATTTCCTCTGACCTCCGTACACAAATATCTTTCTTAAATCTTAACCGTCCCCGGCAGCATGCCACCCCCCCCCCACCCCAGTATTCAACTGTCCCCGGCAGCATGCCACCCCCCCCCTACCCCAGTCTCCTACCGTCCCCGGCAGCACGCCCCCCCCCCAGCAGCATCTCCAACTGTCCCCGGCAGCATACCCCCCCCCCCAGTCTCCAACCGTCCCCGGCAGCACGCCCCCCCCCCCCCCAGTCTCCAACCGTCCCCGGCAGCACACCCCCCCAGTCTCCAACTGTCCCCGGCAGCACGCCCCCCCCCAGTCTCCAACCATCCCCGGCAGCACGCCCCCCCAGTCTCCAACCATCCCTGGCAGCACGCCCCCCCCAGTCTCCAACCGTCCCCGGCAGCACACCTCGACTCTCCAACCATCCCCGGCAGCACGTCCCCCCCCCGGCACTCTCCAACCGTCCCCGGCAGCATGCCCCCCCCACTCTCCAACCGTCCCCGGCAGCATGCCCCCCCACTCTCCAACCGTCCCCGGCAGCACGCCCCCCCCACTCTCCAACCGTCCCCGGCAGCACGCCCCCCCACTCTCCAACCATCCCCGGCAGCACGCCCCCCCCCCCCACTCTCCAACCGTCCCCGGCAGCACGCCCCCCCCACTCTCCAACCGTCCCCGGCAGCACGCCCCCCCACTCTCCAACCGTCCCCAGCAGCATGCCCCCCCCCCCCCACTCTCCAACCGTCCCCGGCTGCATGCCTCCCCACTCTCCAACCGTCCCCCAACCGGCTGCACGCCCCCCCACTCTCCAACCGTCCCCAGCAGCATGCCCCCCCACTCTCCAACCGTCCCCGGCTGCATGCCCAGTCAACAATAGTAACCAGAAACCTGAATGATTGCAATGGACTGCGCGGTGACTTGAGGGGTTGTATACGGTCCGGATTATTGGACATCGGTATTCCCACCCACATTTCTTGTGTTTATTTTGCGCACACAAACAAGATATATTCTACCTCTCAGAAAGGAATTTTAGCTCCTACTCCTCTATATGCAGCATGTTTAGGCATCTGTGTGTACAAGCACATTGAAAACAACTGGCTGCAATCAGATCGGAATATCAAACCACCCGTGCCTAGAAATGCTGCGTTTTTATGTATGTGAGAGGCCCTATAGGCACATATGCATCCAATCAGTCCCTTCCCTGAAGGTAAGTACAGGCTGGTGTACCCCCCGGGCTGACCTGTGATGTCTTTGTGTACTCCTCGTACAGTCTGTCATACTCCCGGCTCTTGTCCTGAAATTGGCCGTGATATTCCTGGAGCTTCTTCCCCACGGCGTCAATACTGTCCTCCTTCACCAGCTGGTCCTGTTCACACAATGAAAGATGGCCGTGTTAGTACATGATGGGCCCACGCTATACTGACCCAATGCCCTCCATACCAAGCACACGCTCACCTGCTGGTACCGGGACACCGGGTAGAACAGCTTCACATCCAGCTTGGGGTTATACTGGGCCAGAGATTCGTGCCTGTAGTGGTTAATCAATTCCACCACAGACTTGAAGGTGAGGGGATCAGAGAATCCGTATCTGCCATCTCGATGATAAATCTTGATCAGTTTGTTGTTTCCGCCCTTTCTGGAATAAAAGTGAGAGGAATGGTGAGAGGAAACCACGTGCAGGGTCAGGGGTGCACCAGGGGAACCCACGCCCAGTCAGGGGTGCACGAAGGGAACCCACGCCCAGTCAGGGGTGCATGAAAGGAACCCACGCCCGGTCAGGGGTGCACGAGGGGAACCCACGCCCAGTCAGGGGTGCACGAGGGGAACCCACGCCCAGTCAGGGGTGCACGAAGGGAACCCACGCCCGGTCAGGGGTGCACCAGGGGAACCCACGCCCAGTCAGGGGTGCACAAAGGGAACCCACGCCCGGTCAGAGGTGCACCAGGGGAACCCGCAACCGGTCAAGGGGTGCACCAGGGGAACCCACACCCGGTCAGAGGTGCATGAAAGGAACCCACGCCCGGTCAGAGGTGCATAAAGGGAACCCACGCCCAGTCAGGGTGCATGAAAGGAACCCACGCCCAGTCAGGTGTGCACGAGGCGAACCCGAAACTGGTCAAGGGGTGCACCAGGGGAACCCACGCCCCGGTCAGAGGTGCACCAGGAGAACCCGCAACCGGTCAGAGGTGCACGAGGGGAACCCACGCCCGGTCAGAGTTGCACCAGGGGAACCCACGCCCAGTCAGGGGTGCACCAGGGGAACCCAAAACCGGTCAAGGGGTGCACCAGGGGAACACACTCACAAGACAACCAAATATTGGATAGACTCTATGCTACAGGCGCCTGTATACTACCAGAGGGCCCAGAACCAGACACTGCATGCCACAGGAGCCTGTATACTACCAGAGGGCCCAAGACTGGACACTGCATGCTACAGGAACCTGTATACTACCAGAGGGCCCAGAACCAGACACTGCATGCCACAGGAGCCTGTATACTACCAGAGGGCCCAAGACTGGACACTGCATGCTACAGGAACCTGTATAATACCAGAGGGCCCAGAACTGGACACTGCATGCTACAGGAACCTGTATACTACCAGAGGCCCCAGAACCTGACACTGCATGCTACAGGAACCTGTATACTACCAGAGGGCCCAGAACTGGACACTGCATGCTACAGGAACCTGTATACTACCAGAGGGCCCAGAACCTGACACTGCATGCTACAGGAACCTGTATACTACCAGAGGCCCCAGAACTGGACACTGCATGCTACAGGAACCTGTATACTACCAGAGGGCCCAGAACTGGACACTGCATGCTACAGGAACCTGTATACTACCAGAGGGCCCAGAACCTGACACTGCATGCTACAGGAACCTGTATACTACCAGAGGGCCCCAAGACTGGACACTGAATGCTACAGGAACCTGTATAATACCAGAGGGCCCAGAACCTGACACTGCATGCTACAGGAACCTGTATAATACCAGAGGGCCCAGAACTGGATGCTGCATGGTACAGGAACCTGTATACTACCAGAGGGCCCAGAACTGGACACTGAATGCTACAGGAGCCTATATACTACCAGAGGACCCAGAACCGGATGCTGCATGGTACAGGAACCTGTATACTACCAGAGGGCCCAGAACTGGACACTGAATGCTACAGGAGCCTGTATACTACCAGAGGGCCCAGATCCGGATGCTGCATGCTACAGGAGCCTGTATACTACCAGAGGGCCCAGAACTGGACACTGAATGCTACAGGAGCCTATATACTACCAGAGGACCCAGAACCTGACACTGCATGTTACAGGAGCCTATATACTACCAGAGGGCCCAGAACCTGACACTGCATGCTACAGGAACCTGTATACTACCAGAGGGCCCAAGACTGGACACTGCATGCTACAGGAGCCTGTATACTACCAGAGGGCCCAGAACTGGACACTGCATGGTACAGGAGCCTGTATACTACCAGAGGGCCCAGAACCTGACACTGCATGGTACAGGAGCCTGTATACTACCAGAGGACCGAGAACTGGACACTGCATGGTACAGGAGCCTGTATACTACCAGAGGACCGAGAACTGGACACTGCATGGTACAGGAGCCTGTATACTACCAGAGGACCGAAACTGGACACTGCATGGTACAGGAGCCTGTATACTACCAGAGGACCTAATATTGGACACACTGCATGGTACAGGAGCCTGTATACTACCAGAGGACCTAATATTGGACACACTGCATGCTACTAGAGCTCATATACTAGCAGAGGATCCAATACTGGAACATTTCCATGTTATGGGAGCCACTGTACTATCCAAGGGTCCATCACTAGGCACCTCACCTATACCATAAGGTCTTGTAAGGACAGCAGAACACTGACGGAAACCTGCCCTGGGACACCCAGCAGACTGTCACGTGTACTGCAATGCGCGTGGAGAACAGATCTGGAAGTTTGTTCAGCTAAACTGTGGCCCTCCAGGTAATCCTACTGAATGTCTTCTCTTCCATCTCAGACAAGTCCTGCAGAGGCACCCACCTGAGTGTCAGCGTATAATCTCCCTGCATCTTTGGTGGAGGCGTCACGGACCAGGAACGTCCCATCCGGCATGTCACGCAGCTTGTCATTCACCTCTTCCCTGTAGAGACAAAGTGGCACTGAGCCGCTGCCGCACAATGGACACGCCTATCGAAGGTGAACGAATATTAGGATAGTTACCTGGAGATGTCTCCCCCAGTACCACTCTGCGTCCTGGAGCGCCGTGCAGGAGCCATCCTTATTGCTGTTGTTTACACAGAGGACTCATGGGTTTGGCTGGTTTGGGTGGAAGTGCTGCAAAAGTCCAGAAATCACATTTCGCATTAGACCGACCTGCCCGATGCCCCCCAAAAAAAAACAACAAACAAACACATACCACGGAGCAGTGGTCAGTGCTCAACATTTAACTCACATCCTGTCCATTATGTGTGTGGGTTTTTTATTTTTTTTTGGTGGGGTGTGGGGTTGGGGGGGGGGGAACTGTGGAGGGCCTCCGAAAAGAAATACAAACGCTCAATATGGATAGTCGCTGGAGCTGGAGCAAATGAAAGCAAAGCAAGAGTGTGTGCATGTGCTCAGTTCCGTGGACCCCAGCTCCTCCCGCTCTGCCCAGGGTTCCTCTACCCTGTCTCCGCGGTCCGCTCCTCCCTCATACTTCTCCTCCCCCTCATATATCATCTCCCCCCTCTCGTGTTTGTGCTGTGCTCCGTTTCCTGCTGTCCTTCCCTCTACGCGAGCTCTATCTCCTCTCTCAGGAATAATTCACCCTCAATCTCGTCTAACCCTCGCCGGCCGCTCCCTCTCTCCATCTCATCTCTCTCCTCTCCTATCCTCCCCCCCTCCCTGCCCTCCCACCCTCTCCGTCCCCATACAAGACCATCCTATACAGTACTCATCCGGACCTCCATCAACCATACAAAATAATCGCACTCTTAAAAATTTCATTCTCACCACAAACACTTATTTTTCTTATTTAAAAAAAACAAATAATCTTCAGTTTTTAACTATCTTCTATAACTCCCTCCATCCATTCCTCCTCTACTGCTCTGTCTCTCCTTAGATCGCGTAGGACCCCCAGACCTCTCTCCCCTACCCAGATACCTCCAGCTCCCATCGCCTTCCTGCGCTCACAATAACATCGCCTCACTTAACAGATCCCTATCTGCCGGAACTCCATCCATCCAACCTACAGTTCCCCACTCTTAATCCATCAGTACTCTCTCCCGCACTCCATCTCCGCTCCTCGATCTAAATGCTCAATCACCCCCCTTCTCGAGCCCTCTTCTTCTCCCACGCCATGCCCCCCTACCCTCCCTCTCCCAACATCCTCTTCTTCGCCATTCTCCTCCTATTGTCTTCCTTCCTCCTTCCCCACCCCTCGCTCCTTTCCTTCCTGCCCCCTCACTACTCACCTTTCAACTCCCGCTAATCCCGCCCATTCATCACATCCACCCTTTCTTTTCCTACCTCGCTCTTCGACTCCCATCTCCTTCTTTCGCGCCTGGCATCCCTATCTCACTCCCTCCTCATTCTAGCTCCCTCTCTCCTCTCATTCATCTTCTTCACCCCTAACTTCCTCCCAGTCTTGCATATCAGCTCCCAAATTTTAAAATATCTCCTCACTCCCCTCTCATCCCCTCCTTCAACAACTTTTGGTCTTTCTCCCATCTTCTTCAGCCCTATTCGCCGCCCAAAACTTTTATTTAATAAATAATCCGTCACTGCCCGTCTCTCAATAACCCCCCCCTCCGGCTTCTCCTCCACCAACTTGACCCCCTGTGCTCTACACTCGTGATCCTCCGGACCATCCACTCGGTCCCCTCTTCTTCCTGTCCTTCCAACTCCCCCCTTCCCACCTCTCTTACCTCATTCCCTATTCCGGCTGTTTCTCCGCTCAGGCCTTCTGCTCGCTCCTGCCCCCTCATTTCCTCGATCCGCCGCACTCCCCCTACCACCTTCCTTCATTCGACCCCTCACCTTTTCCTATGTCCTCCCCCCTCCGCCGGCCGCCCGGTCTTTCTTCTGACCCCTCCAGGTCCCTGATCCATCCCCTCCTCCCGCTTCTTTTCTCCTACATCCTTCTCCCCCTGGTGACAGCCAGAACCCTTCTGCCTTTACCTCACCTCCCCTCCTCACTTCGCTGTCTTAGCCCTTCTATCGTGTACCTCCCCATGCTCACCAGTACCCTGTCATCCTCGACTCTCCTAATCCCCCACTGCTCCTCTGCTTCTTGTCCCCCCCTTCTCCCAGCTCAGCTGCCCCCTCCATGCGGTCCCTGCTACACTTTCTCGATCCTCGTTCTCGCCACCTCCACACTGTCCGTTTCTCCTATTCGACCCACTCATTCAGCCTTATACGCATCTCGAAACTCTCGCCCACTCCACTCACTCCACTATACGCGGGCCTCCGCTCCTCTGCACCCACTTGTTCATCCCCTATTCTTAGTCCTCTCCCACCAACACCTACCTCACTTTTAACCTTCCACGCCCTTCTTTTTGACCTATTGTACCCCCCGCTACCGAAATCCTCCCCCTTCCCTAGAACCCACCACAGTCTCTCCGCTTTACAATTCAGTACGACTCTCATCGCTGCCCTACCTCCTCCTCGTCGTACTTCACTGGTCGTCCTCGAGCGCCAGCTCGTAACAATTCATCCTTCCGCTGAGCTACCCCAGGTCCACGCTCACTTCCGGTCACCTATCATTCACACCTGCTCCCATCACCACTTCGTCCCCGCGTCTCCTCGTGCCCTCCCCGCAAACCGTCCACCCCCTCAGATGCAGTACCCACGGCCCCGCAAAACCCACCCCCAAAGACTCCCGGCCCAACCGGAGGGTAAAACACCACCCCCCCCGTCACTGAGAGTGCGAATAATAAAAACCGAAGTACTGAACATTACTACTCCCTACTGGGCAGGATCGGGAGATAAATAAGACTTTTTCTAACTTTTGTGTATTGTGTACCACGGTAAAGTCCACATCAAGGCTTACTTAGCTCTGGATACACTGGTCACATGAATCCTCTATGGTCAGCGAGAAAGAGCGGACTCAGGGTAGTCCCAGAGAGCCACAGGTGGTCTATCAGAGGGGATAGGGAGCGCGCAGCACCTAGGACGGAGCGAGCATAGATGTGTACAATTGTGGGTGGTCAGTGTAGTGCAAGTAAACAACTATGTCCTCTGTGTGTATTACCTAGTGTGTATGTATACAGTAAGCCTGTGGTACAGCGTGGGTATGTACCTCATGGTGAGGAGGGAGTGTCACCTCTGTATCACGGGCGTGTATGAACATCTGTATCATACCTTAGTGTGGCGTCGTAAGGGTATGTATTTAACTGGTTCTGTGTTAAGTACAACAGGTGTAAATCAAGGGGGGGGGGGTAGTCTTGTGTAGGTGCTGTACGTGCCTTGAGTTGAGAATACGCAAAGTGTCTGAATGTGGTTGTGGATGTAGTACACGTGTCCTCCGTGCGTGTGTTGTCGTGTACAAGTCCTGTGATGTGGGTACAAAGTAAATTCTGTGTGTTGTGTACAGATGTACTGTTTGTGGTAGAGTTATGTTGTGTGGCCTGAGTAACTCAAAAGGCCAGTTTCGTGGCTAGTACGCTCAGGGCGCTAGAACGAAGTATTCGAAAAGACAACTAACAGCCCAGAATTATAAAGGATATGTAGGAACTTCCCACAACCAAACCGTCAAAAAAGAAAACCCACAACACCCAACACCAACCAAAGCAGACAAACAGCGGAACACACGCCCATCCAATAACTAATAGGCAAAATCAAAATGCGATTTAATAAGAGAGATTCCAACCACTTCTACAGCTAGTCCACAACGAGCAACCCGAGCACAACACTCCAAAACCCCAGTGAACTGGCATACTGAACTGTATCGAAACCTACGAACCAGACCCCACTCAGCTCAAGAGCATCCAAGAAACGGGCATACCAGCCCCCCATTTGCTCAAATGAGAGCACCACATCCCTAGACTATGCACCCGCCACTCAACGCAAACCCGAATCACAAACAACAAAGTTGCCGTAAAAACCAAAAAAATGTCTCATTGGACACGACCACAACCGCAAACCCCACGAACCTGTCACCGAAGGATCAACACCCTATGAACCACCCACGAGCAGCCCTATGGAAACCACCAACTACAACCAAGCAACTACCCCCAATATCTATAAGCCGAGTTCAAGGGAAAAGACTGTTAACCCGGAGAGAGTTAACAAACAAACGATACGCAATACGTGTTCACTGACCAAGAACGAAAACGAATTGGCACAACATCTCAATGCCAACCGCCGACCCAGAGTAGCCCACCAGGCGTCGAATACTGGCCGCGTACCAAACGGAAGCTCCATCGGCAAACCACGAATAGAACATGCACAATCCCAGATACAGCGCAAAGCCCCCCCACCCCGACCGACGCCATCAACGGCAGTATCCCAATCCCCTAAACAAACCAACAAACGATCTGCGGCCCTTGCATCTTCGCTAGACGCCGCTACAACGGACGTTACACCGTCTGAACCTAATCACTTCGATAATCCTACTAAAAAACTCACCATTCCTTCAACAAACCATACATCCAAAACATCAACCTGCTATACCAAACCGTAAACAAGTGACCAGTACCAATATAGAAACCCGTACCAAAATCAAGACCATCACCCTGCGGTAAGGGAGGAGAACGCCCCCAGTGACGAGCTGTAGCCCGTCCGGCAAGCGCCCCATCAACATATGATGCCTTAATAACCCAGCAGCAAGTCGACCCACCGTTTGAACTGTAACCCCATCCTTTGACGCCCGAACGAATCACCACAGTAGCTACCACCACAAGAAATGCAAATACATACCTGTAGGATAAAACAGCAACTTAGTGACACCGTAAACATTATCAAGGAAATGTAGAAGCCCGAACCCTCGCAGACGATAATTGAACCAAGACCTGCTCACAGGACGGAGATATGGGGTCAATGAGCAGGTACAACAATTACCCCTCCTAATTCCAGTAAGCAGGCTGCTGCCGGATCCACAACATAACACGCGAGACCGCCTCGCCTTCGTCAAAAACACAAGAGACCACCT